AATGAATATGTTTTGAGACTATTTCAAATGAGTAGAGTACTTTATAGGAGAAGGAATTGTATATATTTGGCTAACATTTTAAGGAAATGTAAAAGAACATCTCAGATAGTCCAATGTCTACTTGCTACTGGTGGAACATTTATTAAAAAATGTAATGTAATGGCTTGAATATACTGATTTAAACCTTATGGGGAACCCAGCGGGGAAAAAAAAATCTAGAAATAGTCACCACAAAATAAAAATGAACATCTGACAAGTTTTGCGGCAGCTTCAAAAGTCTGTCCAGTTTCGTGCCGTGTTTTATTTTGAAGGCCAAAGCCGTTCACCTCCGGTGGCGCCCCCTTTAGCTCTAGCTTGACTCCGCCGACAAATTGCTAACTAACGTCGAGAAAATGACACGTACCTGCCGTTTGCCTGCCGTCGTCCTCAAAGATGAGTCTGAAGTCCAGCTCCTCCGCGCAGTTTACTGTGGACATTGAAGTGAACAGAGCCGAAAATGTCCCCCAGCGGAAGCCGTGCAGCCGACCTGTCTGCCTGCCTGTCTTTAAAAGTGACCTGTCTCACTCACTGACATCCGACTGAAAGCAGAACTCTGTTTTTAACTGACCCGCCGAACGAAACGACGACTGAATCCGAGCTAAAAGTTGGCCGGCGGCATGTGACGGCTCAGTAAACACGCCTGCGGTCTGCCTTGCTGGAGCACAATGGTCCCATTATCCGCGCTAACTTGTTGTCCTCGCGGCTCCTGCTCGCGTTCACTTTTTACGCTCCTCCAGCTTGATCCGTTTGCTGCTTTCACGGCCGCCTCGGAAACCCCAATACATCGTGTTTACGCGTGACCGGGGCTTTTTGAAAACGGTCCCATTCAGCCAAAAGTGAAAATGGGCAGGGTTTATATACTGCCAAAAGTGGAAATAAAGAGTTCGATCTAAACGTTGTTTACTTTTTATGTTTGTTTATTTTTTCTAAATAAACCTTAGCTGTGATGTCTTGGTGTGGCATGTCATAGATGGGTGTGGCAAGTATCAAACAGGAAGTTAACCCTGAAAACAAAAAACTTTACCATTTATTTAACAATTTAAAAGAATATATTTTTATTTATCTATTTTTTTAAACTGTGGTACTGCATGAGGAAGTCAGGAGTAGCAGAGAAGCATATGAAGTGGTGCTGTGTGTGATGGGAGGGGATTCCCATTTGGATGGGGTCAAGCATCCACAGTAACGAAGGAGGAAGGAAAAGAAGGAAGACCTCAGAGGTTCGATGATGTAGTGCAGGACAACATGCAGAGGGATGGAGTGACAGAAGAGCATGCTGGGATAGGAGAAGATGGAGGCAGATGGTCGACTGCGACAACCCCTGAAGAGAGCAGCCAATAGAAGATGATGACTAGTGTCATAACAGGTTTTCAATTCATAAAAATAAAGATTACACCAGTCAGATATTCAGAACCCTCGAATTCCTTTTAAAAACAGCTAATGTGTTTCATCATGTCTGAGCTATAATTTCAAAATAAGATCTTTAAGACATGGTTCATTTGTCTCCAGCTGCTGTAAGAATACATCTGTTTTTGTAAGCAGAGCATTTATTATTACTGCCTCTTTTTATATAATCGGATAATTGATTCATGAACAGAAATATAACTTAAATATGCTCCCCCCGCTTTTGTAGTCAGAAACTGCTGATCTGTAGCAGTTCCTGTGTTCATATTTAAAGTGCAGCACTGTAGTATCTCTCCATGCACACTGCTGCTAACCTTGCACTTCCTTTTTCAGCTGTGAGACGTTAGTTTCCTGTGTGGCCTCACCCAACTTCATCTTGTTTTCCACGGAGCAGCTGACAGAAAGCTGACATGTGCTTTTAGAAAGCCTCCACAGGGTGTTCCTCTCCTTAATTATGACCATTTTTTCAGACACACAGCTTCACATTGCACCTTCTTTGAGTCCCCTCCCAGAGATCAGCATGCGCCTGGAACCCGTATTTCGCAGCGCCCCTGAAGGCACCATCAGACCGCCCTAATTTGACGTCAGCAGCAGGATGTCTTCACCTCACAGGTTCAGCTCAGGACTTCACGGGACTCGTTAAACACAAGGGGCGGTTTTATTTTAACACCATGCGGCACACCTGTGTAGTGACGCTCGTGTTCTGCGTGCAGAAGCTCTGACCTCACCTGAACTCACCTGAGGTCAGGTGAGTTCAGGTGAAGCAAGTACAGGCCCAGGCTACTTGAAACATGTCACACAGGAAGCTAAAGGTTTTAAAACTGCATGAATTTCGAAGGAAAACTCACACCTGCCGGTTCATGAACCGGACCTCAGGTTCAGGTGTGGGTTGGGTGACCAGGTGACCCTCTTTATGAGGGACTGCCGAGCATTGTTATGCCCGGGCCTCCACATCATACAGCGACACCACAGAGATGTGCTGATCTGTGGATGAAGGTCGACACAAATAACAGAAAATTGAGAAATATTTTTTAATAATTATTGATCGCATTCTCCTGAGATTTTCTGAGCACGTCCTGAACCGAAAGTTGATCAAATAAGAGTTAATAAAACCACAGAATCTTTCTTTTTTTAATGTCATGCTCATGTTTGCTAAAGATCAGAACAGTGAGAAGAGGAGAGGCATAGACTGTATGTGAAAGATGGACACAGCTCACATGTTGGTTCATGAGTGAATATTAAAGCCTCCGTTTTTAACATTTTTGGCTGCCACCATGCTGGTTAGTGGGACCCAGAAGTGACCATGTTTAGACAACAGTGTGGAGTATTCATTTATCAGCTAATGAGAACGAGCTGCATTCATAAACAGTATGGGAGCGCCTGCAAATTAGTGCGGAAATAGAATTTCACTCATGACAAAAAAAACAAACAAACAAAAAAAAATGCTCCAAACATCACACGGTCCAGAGGTCCAGTTCAGGGACTCCAGTTACCAGAGGTGAAGCCTAACAGACAGCTAGCAGCTACAGCCGCCTGTGTCACCATCTGCCTATCAGGCCAGAGAGGCCACGCCCCGAATAGTTCGAACTTTCAGCCTTAATGCAGTTTACACAGTGACTCCCCCCCTGCACAGGTGTTATATAGAGAACACATCTGTAGAGACCGAAGTTTGTGTATCAGGCTGTAAACGTGTTCATATCTCCAGCAAAGTTTTAACATGGGAGTCTATGGGATGGACTGACTGCGGGAGCCTCTAGTGGATGTTAGAGGAACTGCAGCTTTCTGTGCCTCATCACTGGATTCAATAATTGTAAAAACAGTCAGTCATGTTTTTGAGTTTAGCTAGTTTGATAATTATTTTTCTTTCATCCGACTGTGCAGAAAGTTCTGAACACGAGCAGAAATCCTGCTGCAACAAAACAAGCGATTAAAGTTCTGGGTTTAAAATCCAATTAAATTCAGATATTACTGAGGGGGAAATGAGCCACATGCACATTTGGTTAACAGAGACGACCTCTTTAATGGAGGCAAACATAGCCTGAGCCAGTGTTAATGAAAAGTGTCCAAAATGTCATTATGAACAGCTGAGCTCTGTGAGGACAGAGCCACCAGGCTGCACATGCTTTAATTCAACTTGCAGACAAAGAAAAGCACAGGTTGTTCCTTTGGCATGAACATAAAACATGACATCATTTGGCAGATTTTATACCTTAAAACAAAGAAGATCATGAGATCAAAACAAGTTCACAAAGTGTGACAGTCAGTGTTTACTGAGCGGCGAGAAGCCGCACAAATCACAGACGTCTTCTCCATCAGCACACGGTGCGTTTGAGGCTCTTCCACAAATCATGAACAAAAGACAGAGTAAGGCACCGGGTGTTAAAACGGCTTTCTGCAACGCTCTACAGATTCAACTTTGAACTGAGAAGTTGAGCACCGCCCACTTCTTTCACCTGTCCAGCACAGAGACATCTACAGGCAGACGCTCTGATGCTCCAGCTGCACAGTGTTGTCCACTCAGCTCATACCAGGCTGACAGGAATCAGTAACGAGCAGCCACAGGATTGCATTTATTCCAGGATCTGACTCAGATTTTAGGCGAGCCCTAAAACCGTCGCTCACCTGCTGCAGGACGCGTGTGTGAAATGTTCGTGTGGCACCTCTGGTGAGGTTTTTCCATTAAAGCCTCACATGTAGCAGCTCGATGTTTGTGCCAGCTTTCCTTTATCCAACAGCCGTTTGTCTGTAAATTATAAGGACCCGGGCTGGAGACGAGCAGCTGCAGTGATGAAACTAACGGTGAAGCTGCTGATTGTTGTTGTTACCCTCACCTGTGGCCGGGAGAGATCGGGGTTACTAACGGGAGAAATGAGCTTCTTCTGAAGGGGGCGGGGCTCTCCCTCAGAGACAGAGTGGCGCTCCTCCTGGCAGGTGAGGTGTTCTGGACCCAAGAGGAGACCCTTCCTGGAGAGATCTTGCCCTCCCCACCACCCCAGAAGCGAGCTGGAGGAGGTCTGAGTTTAATTTAATCTTCCCCTATCAAACACCCGAGGCTCTCACACTGGATAGCGTCTGTTCTGCAGGTCTGACACCGTGTGATGGCTACGCCACGCGCGAGACGTTTCATATAAAACCCAGCGAGTTCTGATGGGTTTTAACCGCGTGCATTAGGAGGCGTGGCTCCCCGCACACGTGCAGACATCCACAGGACAGAGGCGGATGAGCGGCGTGGTTAACGGGACTAAACGATCAGACCTGAGCTGTGAGACGTATGTCAGCCGTGCTGGGTTTAAAAAATATTTACTTTGAGTTTAAATCAGATGAAGTGATGAATAATAAAAAGATACAACTGAGCACAAACTCAGAGTTCCTTTCTGGGTTAAATGTCTGATCATGCAGGTCACTGCCAGCTGTTAAACTCCTCACAGGCTCTCCCGCTGGCTCGGAGGCGGAGCCTCTTGGTGACTGTCACCGTTCGTTACCACAGCGACCTCTGAGGTTTGTTGCAGGTCGTCGTTTACGTGCCGTTTCCTACTCCTCTCTTCCTCTGCGGCGCCGTTCACCTTCCCCTCCCTCTTCCTTTTGCAGACCAGGCCGGAGTCTTCCTCGCCGATCCGTCCCTCTGGTACTCCCAGAACTCGCAGGCAGACGATGGCGGCCGCTTGCTCTGCAAACTTCTTTGACTTTTCCCTGAAAGACGGCGAGATAGTTTTAGCCCAAAGCGCAGCAGACTCAAGAAATCACGACTGCGATCAAATTTTCAATTGCGGCTCATTTCTTGGAGGGTTTCCGCACTCTGAGCTGGAAAAACATCCTCACGATGTCTTTAAATAAACATATTCTAATTCTCTTCAGTTACTTTGTGTCATTTCAAAATGAAATCTGGAGCTGAAATGAGTCACTTGGTGTCAGACGGGGACAACACCGAGTCTACTTTTGATAATCTGTATGAAACTTTCTATTTTCACACTTTCAGTCGTGCCTGTTGTGAGAAGCTAATGTGGTCAGAACTGTAGGAGGGGCGCTCAACCACACGAGACGTCACAATAACCGTAGGAAATGAGCGAGCACAGATATTTGTGAGGAGGCGGGAGCGCTCAGAGGATCAGAGCCGTGCAGTTTATTCCACAAGCTGACATTTATATTTAAATGTTCATTTGCTATTT